CAGTTTCGAATTTTTACAACGAAATTAAGAGACTTATCGAAAAAAATGAATTCTACACCGGTTATTACATACATTTGACCTAATAATATTTTAATAATAACGGGAAACTGATAATTATTAGGAGTACAAATTAGCTCGGTCCGTTTCCCTAAAGATGGCTCCAGCTGTTGTGAATAATGACAGCTGATTTTGGCGGTTTTTCAGAGAGGTTAAACATCTGCTAATAATATTCAGTTTATATCGCTTTGAATTTCATTTCACAAAAACCTTGATTTTTATTGTGTTTGAAATGTCGAATTTTGTATTAATTTTGTAATTAAAAGCAGCATTTGGGGGAGGTTTTGATTTTTTGCTTTAATTGGAAGAAAAGTGCGGCTGAAGCTTATCGAATGCTTGTCGAAGTTTATGGTGACACTGCTCCCATTGATAAATCATGTAGGGAATGGTTTCGACATTTCAATGGAGATTTGGATGGAGATTTCAGCGTTGAAGATAAGCCTCGCTTTGACAGCCAAAAAAATTCGAAGACAAAGAATTAGAGGCATTACTCGAAGAAGATCAGAGTCAAACGCAAGAGAAGCTTGCAGAATCATTGAGGGTAACTCAATAAGCCGTTTCTGTACGATTGAGAGCCATGGGAATGATTCAAAAACAAGGAAATTGGGTGCCTTATGAACTGAAACCGAGAGACGTTGAAAGACGCGATTTTTGCGAACAGCTGATTCAAAGACAACAGAGAAAAGATTTTTTGCATCGGATTGTGACTGGAGATGAGAAGTGGATACTACGATAACTCCAAGAAAAAAAAAATACTACGCTAAGCTCGGTTGTTGCCTCAACATCAACATCACGGCCGAACATTCATGGTTCGAAGATCATGCTCTGTATCTGGTGGGACCAAAAGGGTCTTGTTTACTATGAGTTGCTGAAACTTGGCGATTCCATTACGGGAGATCGGTATCGACTACAATTGATTCGTTTGAGCCGTGCATTGCGAGAAAAACCGGAATATGAGTAAAGACATGATAAAGCTTCTTTTTCATGACAATGCTCGGCCTCATGTCACTAAAGTCGTAAAAAAATATTTGGAAACGCTCAAATGGGATGTTTTACCCCACCCGCCATATTCTCCGAACATAGAAGGAGAATATGACCTTTTTCTGATTACTGGTTATTCTGAAGGATGCAGCAAGTCACCGGTTCATCGTGAAGTCACCTTCACTTCTTTCGCAGAAATCGAAAATTGGCTCCAAAATTGGATCGCCTCCAAAGACGAGTCATTTTTTCGAGAATGGAATTCGAAAATTGCCTGAGATGGGAAAAAGTAGTAGGCAGCGATGGACAATACTTTAATTGATCTGTTCATTCATTTTGTTTTGAAATAAATGCATTTTTGAACGGATCGAACTAATTTGTACTCCCAATAATATGAAAAAAAAAAAAAATGCAATTTTCTAATGCATTCCATTTGACCCCTTCAACTAGCCCCGGGACCGGGACTAATTCGACTAAAATTATTAAAATAAAAATTAACGTATTTGAAGCTACATCTTTGGCTACATATTAATAAAACTTTTATAAAAATATATTTTAAACACAAAAATTCGCTTCATAGAACAAAACAATGCTTCTTTTTGCAAAATTTGTTCATTTCGTGCAAAAACACGTTGAATGAGCCTAGTTTTCGAGATTGGACATGAGAGAACTAAATTTATAACATTTATCACTGAGGAAAGTTTCTTTAAAGGAATAAAATTTTGAGTAAGTACTACAAGAGTTGTCACCAAATGAGTTATACAGTTCCATGCTGTGGTTAGTCTACTATTCCCATACATATGCGCGCGCGCACGCACGCACGCACGCACTCGTTCATTTTTTTAAAAATATTATATTATACAATAATAAAGACACATAAACAAAAAAAAATCTGTTGAACTTTATTAGTAAGAACTATACTTAGTCTCTAAGTAGAAATCAAATATCTCAGATAATCATATATGATTGTAAAACAAAAACTTCAAAAATAAAAATATTTACTTAGGTGTACGAGTTTTTAAAATTGTGGTATAATTTCTATCATGTATTCGCAACAAGATGTTACAGCAGACTTAGTCAGCGTCAATCGCTGCTGCATGCTCAGATGCGTTTTGTTTTTAATGTAGTTTCTACCCCGATTATTCTACTTCTATAGTCAACTGACTCCGGTCTCCCCTATATATATATATATAT